GCACCTTTCTTGTTCACTACGTACCACTGGAAGGCGGTCATTAAATGCCACTGTCCTTTTGGGCCCAATCAACATGCCACAGGCCAAAGTGACTCCTGACCCAGTCACAGTGCAGGTAAGCAGCTCAGGTCTTCCTGAATAGAGGCAGCTGACTGGCTATGCAGACATATGCGGGAGTGATACAGGGAAAAGGAATCTCCAGAGGTCGGGGGTGATGGGAAGAGATGTTCTGCAAACCTACCGAGAATAACTAAGGACTCCCGAGTCTTTGTTTTTATTAGCACCCTGTGACCCCCTTGTGTAGAAAGAGTCGGGTGGGCAGAAAGGATAATCTCCAAGCTTGAGGGTTGGGGCAGGGCAGTGAGCAACTTTGCTCAGCAGATTAAACCTACATTTTGGTGAAAGCTTTAACCTGGTTAAGACCTATCTAAGTGTCCGGTTTGATAAACTTTGATTTCTTCGGTTCAAAAGTTTCAGAGGAAGGTTCGTACTATATGCTTGCAATGTTCTAAATATGACACAATTACCCCACAGGAGGTAATTTCTCAATGTCTTTTCATGACACGAGGGTTTGACAAGCCCTATAATGACCCATCCAACCTCCTACCACAATCCCCAAGTCTTTTTATAGTCGCAGGTAATTACACCACAGAGAGATGACATCACTTCATCAGCAGGGCTTGCAGCTGACAGGAAGATGCTCTGCGGATGTTTTGGGAACTACATCCTCATTCAGCAAACAATTTGCTGTGGTCCCTATTGTTCCTTTCCAAGAATAGAACTGTCTTGGCAAACCTACAAACCTTGGCAAACCTTGCCTACACTGGGAACTCAACAACCAAGAGCTATTGTAGAGGAGAACAGAAACAACCAGAGGAAAACATGGTAACCCAGAGATGACTTGGGAATCTTTAATGCAGGGTAACCAACACAGATGGGAGTCTTTCTGCCTCTGTCAAAATAATCCTCTGAAGGTTGGTCTGAGAGCACTAGTAGAGCAACACAAGAAAAATACCTTTGTGAAGCCCGTCACTAGGCCTAGGGTCACTCGGCCTAGGTAGCACAGCTTCAGCAGACACCAACATCAAACTGAGACAGAGACTGGACACAAATCTCCGCCAGCCTCGCCACTTATGACTACATGTCTCTGAGCAAATTACGCGTCTTTCTCAGCCTCAGTTTCTCATTTGTAAAGTAAGAAGCCACTAACATGACCTCCTAGCTCACGGGTGAGAGGATGGACCAGGTGGTGTGGAGCCTGGCCCATCAACAATGATGCTCTCTCTATGCAGGTCTCCTGCCCATCTGCTCCTCCCAGCTCAGGGCTATAATCTGCTGCCAGGTCCCTTCAGAGCTGATTAGGTGGTCCAGGTCACCCGCCAGCATCTTCTCTAGCAGCAATGATAAGGTTAGAGCCACAACCACCTGCCTTGTTTCTCAACATTTTCTACCATCAATATTAACTACCTGGCCTTCTGTCTCATTGAAATGCATGAGACTGCTTTCCCTGCTACTTTCAAGTTGCTTTCGGTGCTAGTGGGATATTTAGCATGGTGGAAAGTGCTATGGCAATATTTGAAGAAGAAGAATTTTAATAAGCAAAAATTACTGCATTTTTTTCAATAAATATATTCAGAAGCTTTGTATATGAGTCAGCAAATCAGTTGGGCTGAGACTGCCAAACTATGTAATTATCAGACTATATAAGCTTTCTGGAAGGCAAAAAGAATTCCTCAAAAACCAATGTTCCCTCAACTAATGAAGTGTGATAACTCCTCCCAATCCCTTCTTCCCAAACCCAGAAAGTATGACTCTTCAGTTTTTGTTTTTGAGGGTAGGCTATACCTAGCATTGCTAAAGAGTTACTTGTAGGCTGGCACTTAGGGAATCACTTCTGGTAGTGCTCAGGAGACCATGCTGGGCCAGGGGACAACCCAGATCTCTCGCATGCAGTCTGTACAAAGTCTGAGCTATAACCCTATCTCAATTTTTGTTTTTGTTTTTGATTCTGGTTTACGGAACCAAACCTGGCAGTGCTACTCTCGTTGCAGTGCTCAGAGGTTGTACCTGGTGGTGCTTGGGGGACCATGTGGTATACCTCAGTCTCTGACATGCAAAGTATCAGCTCCAGTCCTTGGAGTCATCTCCCTGGCCCTCAGTTTTGTTTTTCAAAGACGGCAAGGTGTATCATCCACGTAAAATCTGTCCAACATGACTCAAAGGTAGGTCACATACCAACTCTGTTGTTATTATTTGGGCCTTGCAACATTCATTTTATATGTCAAGTGCCTACCAATCATTTTTATAAGTCTACACAACACTGGCCTAACATTCTTAAGGATCTTGTTTCTGTTTTACAGGAGACACAATGAGGTCAAGTGATTTACCTGAGGTCACATGGCGAGTGTCTGAGATCACAGGGAAAGGGAAGGAAGGGGCTGACTGCAATCCTAACCCTTCTGGAGTCAAGAGAAATGCAAGTTGGGTGGTACGAGAATAGCTTAAGTTCTGATATCCCCATTGCAAGCTGTGACCTGGTGTGAAGAATATGAGATGCTTCTTTTTTTGCCACTCCTAAAAAGAAAATATTTAATGAGGTTTCCCATCTCTGCTGAAGAAATGACCAAGAAAGGGGGGGAACAGGGGGAGAGTGCTGGCCCCACTGCCTCTTTAACACCGTCTCCAACTCAAATTCTGACCTGTAGAAATCGCCCCGAAAGAAAACTGCACCCCAAATATGATATAAGTCTACTGCCAACTCCTCTTCATATCTGTAGACCTGTTTCTCTTCTAAACTCGACTGATCATGACCAAGACAAAGACTGACCATGTTCCTTGTGAGCAGTGCCATGATGCTACAGATGAAGTGCCCCCAGAAGTGGCCTACTTACAGCATCCAGGGAGAGTCTCCAGTCATGAAGTTGCATGGACACACAAACTTAATCTGGGCTAGCAGAACTCATGCAGTCCCCTGAGCACTGCCACGAGTGTTCCTGAGCACAAAGTCATAAATAAGGCCAAAGCACCAGCAAGTGTGGTCCAAAGCCAAAAACAAACAGAATGTTGTGCGTCTCACCAGTTCTTCATCGGTAAATGCCTCTCAAATGAGCGTCCAGAGCAGTAATGAGAGAAAGCAACAATGTACAGGAAGAAGGTACTCTGTCTGGGAGCATATGTACCCCAACTCTGGGGAGCAAAAGAGGGGCTCCTGTACTTTAGAGTGCTGTGCCCACAGGTTGCCTGTGCCCTCCGCTGTGGCACAATTTCTCTTTGTAATTTCTCTCTCATCGCTTGGCCCCTTTCCTCCACTTCTTCGCCACTCTCGCTCTCTTCTCTATACCATGTGATCCCTTCAGAATTAATATCCTACCTCAAAAAAAAAAAGGCTATTTTACTTAAAAAAGAAAAAAGCCATAGGAGGGGAAAATGCAGGAGATAAAAAAAAAAGCATCTTTCTTCAAGCTCAGAAGATCTGAGTCTTGGGTTCTCGGCTGGCTTGTGTGGCATGACTGCTCACAGCAAGAATGGCCACACAGGGGTGCTCTGGGTTTAGGCCCCAGAGTGCTGCCTCCTTCCTCCATGAACCACTCCTGGGTGGGAAGAATACTGTCAGCAACCTGCTGCACTGGATGGATGCAACGGTGAAACCCCTTTCCCTGCCCACACGTATTTAATGGGGACCAGAACAGAGTTGGGGAATGGGGATAGCAGAGGAGGGAGAATTTTCTGCACACATGGGAGGGAAAGAAAAAAAAAACCAAAAAAACACCAAGTCAATGCTCCCACCCTGGTCTGAGTCCACACTACAGTCACACATTTTCCACAGTGAAGAAGAATAATAATGATGCCTCTATCCAGAGGGCCTGGAACCATCAGTCCTTGATAATTGGCTGCAGACTGTGGATGGAAAGTTGGAATGGTGTGGGCAGCTGGAAAATGGGGTGGGGAGTGGTAGGAGGAAGGGGCGGAACCCTTCAGAGGAGAGTGGGGGGAGGTAGCAAGGCTTAGTGGAGCTAACACACCCGGGCTTCTGACACGGAAAGCAGTTGCTCTGCCACTCCATCTGCCTGGTCACATGCAGGGGCAATCTCTCCAGTGTAGTACCAGAAGCCGGTCGTGGCAGAGCAGAGGCACTGGGGTAGGTCCTGGCCCTATGGCTAGCGGTCTCTAGCCTCTAGGCAAGCGCACAGCCTCTCGAGTTGTAGCTCTCACCAGCCCTCCATCCTCACTGCAATGACAGTCATTCCCCTCATGTGCAGACCAAGTCCCCACTTCTTCAGGAGAATGGCAAACTTGTCTACAGAGATCAAATGTTTCAAAGTCTAAATAGCTTAGGCCGGGGGGGGGGGGGGGGGCTATACATTCTGTATTACAACCGCTCTACTCCGCCGTGATAGCACAAAAGCAACAGCAGACGTATATATGTGTGTAGTATGTTTATAAAACATATATATAAACACCAACAAATGCTGCTATACTCCATGAAGACTTTATTTTCTTTTCATACTGAAACATGTTTTGTATAATTCTTTTGATCTTTCCCAAACACTAAAAAACCTAAAACCAGCCCGAGTTTGCAGTCAATGTAAAAATCTAGACATTTGGTAGGGACCAGTCCGTGGACCACACAATTAGTTAACCTCTGCTTGAGAAGACAGTGCCGGCCAAGACAGGCTGCTACACTTTATGATTTTCCTCCAACACTTTTAGAAGCCTCATCTGGCTCTGCAGTGGCCCTGCTTCATTTTCTTTCCTATTGTTATTGTTCTGTTTTGTTTTCCTTTGAAATCTCATAGAATCATGATGTCCTCACTCTGGGGTTCCAACCATTCGCAGCTGTGCCAAGGAGCCTAGGAAATCATAGGCACATGGGAAAGGCCCACCCCGACACTCTGTTCTCCTTGCAACTGCGGCGAGTACTGTGGGATAATCCCACGTCTCTGTCCGGGAGGAACCACACACACACACACACACACACACAGGCAGAGGCACTCACTCACCTGACGCATGTCCAACTCCAAGGAGGGTGCTGAGGATCACCAGTGGGAAGAACAATCCATATCCCATACAAGACACTGCAGATGCTGAGGTGCTCTTTGGTGCTATCCTGCCATGGCACATCTTTTATCCGTCCAGGTTATTTTAAAAAGAAAAAAAAAAAATCTAAAAACCCAGTAGTAAGAATTCTGAAGTCAGCCAGGGGTAGATTCACCTATTAAAACAAACAAACAAAAAAAAAGTATTTAAGTGAACATTTCAGCCATCAAATCAGTTAGAACTTTAGTAAGGAAGCCATAATCACATCTAGAGTCAAAATGTTTCTAGCGACGGAACTCCTAGGAGAGAAGAGTCACTGTAAGTGGCTCTGCAGCTCCTACTTGGAGAAAGGCCGTGCACGGCCTGCAGCGGGGACCCAGGTCCTAAGCACAGGACAAGGAGAGGCCCCGCTCACCAAGCAAGCGGTCAGAAGCTGCCCGGGCTCTGCTAGCCTGCTCTGAGGCCCCAGCAGAGAGGAAGAGAGGCAGCTGTTGACACAGAGCTGCTACACCCAAGTCAGGCTTTGTCTCTGCCACTTGGACGCTAAGCAAGTTTAACTAACTGAAAAAAAAAGGGGGGGGGGGTGTGGGGGTAGAAATAGAGAACATGTGTCTTAAAGGGAGAAGCACACCAACTCCACCGCCTCCAGAAGGAATGCAGCGGCAGCAGCCAAGGACTGCCGGCAAGGACTGCTCCTAAGTGCCAGAAGCTGGATGAGCCCCCAAGGATCTGGCTCTGATTCCACAGTCATGAATCTCAAAAGGGCCTCATTAATCAAGGCTCCCCACAAACACCTGTGATTCCAGATCCTCCCTCTTGATGGCTGCCCTTGACAGTCAAAGGGGGGTTTGAGGTGGGGGTGGGGGGAAATAGGCACAGCCCCCCCACATACACACACTGCTTTCAAACACTTCAGAAGAACGATCTTAATCAGTATCTTTTTAATTTTTTTGGTTTTGGGGCTATACCTGGCAGTGCTCAGGGCTTACTCCTGTCTCTGTATTCTGTATGGCTTGGGGGATCATATGGAGTATTAGGGAACTGAACCCAGGCAAGCACCCTACTCTGTTGTACTCTCTCTTAGGCCCCTAATCAGTATCTAAAAAAAAAAAATTAGGTCAAGACTTTTAGGGAGGGGCTGGAGAGACAGCACAGTGGGTAGGGCGTTTGCCTTACACGTGGCTAACCCAGGTTTGATTCCGAGCATCCCATATGGTCCCTCAAGCACTGCCAGGAGTAATTCCTGAGTGCAGAGCCAGGAGTAACCCGAGCATCGCTGGATGTGATCCAAAAAGATAAAAAAAAAAAAAAAAGACTTTCAGGGAATTTTTCCCTATATGCCTTCAGGGAAGCCGCTGGCATAATGTTATTAATTTTAGTTCATTTTTATTTCGTTTATTCTAGTTTGTAACAGATATTCCTCAAAATAAGATTATAATTCTTTTTTAATTCCTACACGTCCCCTTTCCCTAACAAATCTTTATGGAGCTGGAAAAACGAGAGAATCAGGGAATCTACCACCTACAAGCCCTTATTTATCAGGTCCGCTCCTGAGGTTCTGCCAGGCAGAGTAACTAAATGGGACTCTTCATCCATGTCTGAAATCTTGAGTTAGGTCGATGCTCTAAAGAGGGTTACTCATAAACAGAACAGAGTTGTCTCCGTCCAAAGAAAAGATGGCTATGAGGGTCTTCAATGAGTGTTAAGTCAGGGATTCAAAACAGCATTAGAAAACGCTGGAAATTTTGAAAGAAAAAAAAAGATAGGATACTGGTGTTGGGGCTGGACTGAGCCATCAGGGTGAGCCTCTGACTGAACGAACATTCACACAACACACTGGATCCTCACTCACGACCCCCAAATAGTCGCCTCTGTACCAAGTAGCCTTCTGTTCACAATTCTGCCAGTACTCCTTGAGTCCTTAAAGCTGTAGAACAGGAACGGCTGGTTCATGGACAGGTCTAGGGGTGGAGTCTGAAAGTCACCCCAAACAGTAATCAAACTCTGTGTGTGTGTAAGTAAACATACGGACGCATACGCCTTGATGTGGCTAAGAAAGGTAAAGTCAGAATGTCAGATTCCAGATATGCTTCTCCTATTATGATCTTTAACCCCTGGTTCGCCTTTGTTTCCTCAATGGTAGAAAGAGGACATTGGCCATATGGTCTCTGGAGAGCTCATGTAAGGTTTAGGGTCAGACAGACAGAGCACTTGGCACAGAGCTGGACACTCTAAGACATCTGCAAACCGAGAGCAGGGCAATTATTAGGAAGACCTGAGCCTCAGAGGTCTTGCAGACTGGCTATCAAAATCTACCTTGTCACTTAATAAAGGCCAGAGGAAGGTCTGAAGAAGCTCAGGGATATGCTCAGGGCTACCAGCAATGGGCCCTGTGGCATTGCTATTAGATGCAGCTAGTGCGAACAACTCTCCCGACAGTCATTATCCCCTCAAGGCAACAACTACCCAGGGACCAAAGAATGACACCTGCTCAGGTACATCACGGCACAAGCAGACATATTTCCGCAGTGAATAGACAAGGTCAGATCAGGGTGGTGCAGAGGGGTGTGCAGAGGAGGAGCACTCAGGAAAGATGACCCAAGTGAAAGACACTAGGCTGACTGCTAAAGGCGGTGCCTAGTTTTGCTGTGTGGTGTTTGTTTGTTGACAGAAGGAAAAGGAGACCCCAGATTTAAGAGGGATTAGAGCAATGGGAACATAAGGACTCCTGGAAGAGATTAGAGTAGGGGCAGGCTAAGGAGTTTAAGCTTTACCTTAAAAAAACAAACAAACAAACAAACAAAAAAAAACTATGTGGTGATTCTTTTCACAATAGACATAACATGGAAACAGCCAAGTGTCCAACAACAGATGACTGGGAAAAGAAACAGATACAGAGTGAAAGACTACTCAGTTGTAAGACAAGACATAATCTGCGGCTGCATGGAAGGATTTGGAGAGTGCCATGCTGAGTGGAGTTGGTCAGAAGGAGAGGGCGGGCACAGAATGCTCGCTCTCATATGTGGGATATCAAAAAACATAGGAGAGGCAGAACAAACACTCAAGGCACATGCCTTGCCTGCAGCCAACCCCAGTTTGATCCTTGGCACTACGTGGTCACCTGAGCATATTCCAGGTGCAGTCTCAGGGGTCCCCCAAAGCACTGCCAGGGTGACCCAAGTAATCCCAAGCGCCAGGGAATGAAGAGATTGACTGGATGGCGACGGATAGAAGCTAGACTTGGTGGCAATTTTAATGGAACAAACAAACACAAATCGAACTAAAACGGTACCTAAAGCTGAAACCTATGTACAGTTGCAACCAATGGTCAATAATAAAATTAAAAGAGGAAAACTCACTTTTCACTACGCACATTTCTTTTTAATCTCCTTCCATATTCTATCTTGTATATGCACAACTAACCAGATAAAAACAATTAAAATTAATGTACCAACTGACTGACATTAAAATAAACCTGCTCATTCTCTCTACCAGAAAGTCACTTTCAGGATTACGCACAAGGGTATTCTCTGGAAGATTTCTTTCTGACACTTTTACGCTATATCCGTCCTCAGTAAAATTAATCCCCTCCTCTGCACCTCCCAAACATAGTCCTCTGATATGATTGCATTTCTAAAAAGACTATTAAATCTATTTGTTTATCTGTCTCCCTTAACTGGATTCAAAGTTTCTTGAAAGTAGGAACTACAGATGACTCAACCCGGAATTTCCAACAGTCTGAGCTGGGCCTGGCACCTGGCAGCAAATGTTTGCTAAACCTCTGACTCCTTCGGGGACGTGCCAGTATAAAATGAGGAAGACGATATATGCATAAATGCTCTTGTTCTGTTTTAAAGAAATAGGTGGCTTGGGCTAGAGAGATAAGACAGTATATAGGGTGCTTGCCTTACACATACCCGACCTAGGTTGGATACCTGGCACCCCCTTATAGTTCCTCCAAGCCAGGCCAGGAGGGATCCCCGAGTGCATCCCATAAGATCCCTGCCCCAGCACGTCCAGAAGTAACTCCTGAGTGCAGAGCTGGGATGTAACCATCCCTGAGCACTGGGAATAACCATCCCTGAGCGCCACCAGTAATGTCCCTCCCCCCATTATTACACCCCGCCTCCAAAAGAAAAGAGCTACAAAGATGGATGGCTGCAAAACATAGTGAAGGTTATTTAAACCCCTTGCTCTATGTACTTTGGTAATATAAGAGAACGGTATAGCTACATACCCACAGCACAGACTCAACAACACTGAAAACATGAGATCCAAACCACAACTACCAAACTAAAAAATGTGCCTGTCAAGGCAGGTGGGGAACAGGAAGGAACATGGGGACACTGGTGGAGACATGATGACACTAGTGATGGGATTGGTGCTAGAACATCATCAGCCTAAAACTCATCAATAACTTTGTAAATCACAGTTCTTTAATCCGGAAAAAAAATGTTTTTAAATATTTGGGGTTGAAGAGATGGTACAGTGGGTAAGAACTTGCCTTGCACACGGCCAACTCAAGTTCGATTCCCAGCACCCTACACAGTCTCCTGAGCAGCACCAGGAGTAATCCCTGAGCTCAGCCCAGTGTGGCCCTAAAATCAAACAACAAAGGAAGTGTTTAAGACACTCGATCTTATTTTGTATATTTAACACAATTTAAAAAGTTGGGAAACTTTTGATTAAAGAGGCCACATTTTCCAAGTTAGCACTCATACTCATTAGGTATATACCATGTACACCTACGAAGAAGAGATGTGAGGACTTGAAACTGAGTTAGCCGGACCTCTGCCATCAACTACCTACCTTGGGGTGCTGAGGGCTAACTTGTTTGCACAACAATGATTCTAAGATCTCTCTGCTTCAGAATTCTCAAGTGTCCAAGCTTCTCATTCCTTATGTAACTCATCTTTTCGGATTGAGCAGGAATCAGGGGAAATCTAGATCATTTACCCTTCTGTTTTTCTCAGGATTGGAGATGCTGCACCAACAGCATCTGGCCAATTTGAGTCTCTAAGAGCTAATTACTCAAGGGCAGGGTCTGACCTTTACCTCTGTAAACCCTGATCATCAAAAGCTGGGTGAGCTTAGCCTTCTACCAAATTCCTCCTCAGCTAGGAATTTCTCTTCTACTCTCCAATAAACTCTTCTATTTCTGAAGGAAAAAAGAAA